GCCATAGGCTCTTGGAGACATGGTGGAAAGCATTGCTGGTGCTATACTTATTGATACCAATCTCGATCTGGAGAAAGTATGGAGAATCTTTGAACCACTATTGTCTCCAATAGTGACTCCTGACAGCCTAAAACTCCCTTCACTGCGTAAACTCAATGAAATGTGTGACTCTCTTGGGTACTTTATAAAAGAAAGATGCATAAAAGTAGGAGAAATGGTGCATTCTGAACTTAGATTGCAGATGGAAGATGTCTTATTAATTGGAAGAGGCTGTGAACGAAACAAGAAGGCTGCCAAAGCAGCAGCTGCAAGCTGTCTGTTAGAAGAACTTGAGGTTTGCTAGTTTCCTTAAGGATGGCCTACTTTGTTTTGTATCCTTTCCTTCATCATTACTAATGATGTGTTACTTGGGATGCAGAAGAAGAAAGATGTTTCAAACCGTAATGGCATTTCCAAGTGGACAAAAAAAGATTCTGATTCTGATGATGCTTTCCCTACCTCTTCACTGAATATGAAAACATGTAGCCAAGTGACTAATGAGGAATCTTGTAGGAAAGAAAAGCAAAAGGTAACTGAAAGTCAATGTCCAGAACGATCAGCTAAAGCTTCTTTCCCAATCAATGGTTGTCCTGGGAAAACCTGCAGCATCAGTCCTGCTACCCTAGGTTTGTTTAATCCCCTTCCTCTAGATTAATTTTATACTTGACTATAAATGGGAGAAGCAATTGAGTTTTGCATGTTCAGCCAGAGCTTTATGTCCTTTGAGATTTTGTACAGGAAAACGAGGGTGAAATACTGTAGCTATTACAATTTTGTTTGTGATTTGGAACAATGAAATGCTTATATCTTCAAGGGCGTCTCTTTGCCCTTGATTATAATTAAAAATTTTGCAGCTTCTTACAAAGTGTTCAGTTCACAAAAGGAGTCAGTTTATTAGATAAGCTGTGAGGTTGGCCATAGTTGTGGCATTTTGAAGTTTCTATTCCTCTCAGTTTCCATCTCTTGGTTTCCTCTCCTTATTAATACAAACATTTTCATGTTCTTCTCTTACCCAAGTGGGGAAAATGTGTGGATTATGGCCTTCATTCTAAGGGAAGTGAATGTGGTTGATGCTTTCATAGTAATCATTACTTGTTAATTTGGTAATCTAAAGTTTTATAACTGTCCTATTAGTCTAACCTTTTATACTCTTTTTTTTTTCCGGTAAATAAAATTTTATTTTTGACCCTTTACAGTTATTGGACCAATAAATATGAGCAAAGGTGGACCCCGGACCTCAATATTTGGAATTTGCAAGACATTACAGTGGCCAATGCCAACATTCAGAACCAAAGAAACTAAATCCAGGTCATTTCAGTCAACCCATTTTTTACATAATAGCTAACATGACAACAAATGCAATGCTTCGGTGCAAGCTGGAGTGTCCTATATAATACCTCCAATCCATAATATAACCGATTTATGAAAGAGTTAATGATCTTGATTTTTTATTTTTTTAAAAAAAACATTTTAACATTCCATAAACTCCCCATAATTCAACTCATTTAACCTCATCATATAGTGAAAGATGATACTCCCCAATAAATTCAAAGCTAATTGTATAAGAAACATTTTTGAAACTATAGCATAAATGCTTCGCTAAATTCTTTTGCTTCTTTTCTTTTCTTTTTCTTAAAAAAAAAAAACTTGGATTAAGAACCACAGCACCATCTTGAAAAGGGTCTTGTAGAGTAAAATTCGTATCTAATGCAAAGTGTTGCACACAATGCTTCATTGATTCTATCTCAACTCTCATCGGATGCTCCTTTGTTACCATTTTAGGCATGTTACTCTTTGCCATGATTGTTCTCCAGATTGCCTAATTTTTTTTTTTTTTTTTTTTGCATCCTCAGAACTCCGATCGAATTTAGAGAAGGCTCAGATAAAAGATACGGTTTCAATAGCTATGTATCTAAAATCATGCTACAGATCCCAAGCTCTGGCATCATGGAGTGTACAGGAAATCCCAAGGCTGACAAGAAAACCTCATTTGACTCAGCAGCACTAACAATGCTTTATGAACTCCAACAACGTGGGAGGATATCTATTGTCAGTTCCTAATTTCTTGCCTTCAAGCCCCATAATCGAAGTCTCATATACTCTAAACATACCATGCAAACTTCAATGATATGAATTAACTTATTATATCTAACTATAATCGAAAACTGTAGTTTTAATTTATTTTTCTTGATAACTTATATCTAAAATGCTTCTATAAAACTCAATTATGTTTTATATTCAATATGCACCTTACCATCACATATCCCATTCAATACACATGTCCACATCCTAAGCAAAAATTGCCAATTACAGATTTCAGTACCAACTGAAGCATTGCATCACAACAAGCTCCTTCTTGATGATAAGGCAAACAAGTCTATGTATCCAATGCTAATTGACCAGACATCTAAGCATGTCAAGTGATCCAATGTCAAACAGCAACGCACCACCACGATATGTTCCAGACTTGAACATTGTTTAAAAGATATCGTCTAAAGAGCCTCAAGAACTCTGTTGTTTTTGCATCTGTCCTTATTTGGTTCATGCTCAAACAGGGAATTTATGAGAAGTTTCAACTTGGTAAAAAGACCCCTTTTGTTTAGTGCCAATTTCTCTATGTTGGGAATCACCTATCACGGATGAAACATAGTTAACGATCAGCAAAATGAACATCCTCTATGGCTAATAATGCTTTTTTTGTCTCTCTGAATCTTAAATACGTTTATTTATATTTTGAACGGATTTCACAAGCACTTGTAAACAAATATGACATCACTCAGTTAATTTCGATTTTATTGACTTTGCAGACATTATTAGGACGCAACTCAATTTTTTTCTCTTTTCGGGGAGAAATAAGCAAATGCCAAACCAACCCACTCTCCCCGCCAATAAAACAAACTACAACACATATGAGAGTTATTCCTTTAAAAAATTGGCAAATAACCCATTCAACTTGCAAATCCCCGGCACTTTCTACATCAGACTCCACATGTGACCTGGTATTGTCAAGCAAACTTCATAACAAGTATGGTCACCATGTTACATGGCTAAACAATGAAGATCCCATCATACAAATGCCAAATGATATCGAAGTGTCATGAGGACCATTTTCTGTTTTTTGTAAATAAACCAGTTAAAATTTGCGACAGTTGATATATGCCATGAGAATCTTGGTCTTCAACAAGATATGGATTGTGTGATACACATATCTTAAGATCACAGTCAAATACTTCAAATCTATTATCAAGTAAAATGTGGTTTAATTAAAAAAAATGGCATTCGATTCATGATAATCAACCAATATGCAGAGTTTCGGACCAACCCTGTTCGTCAATCAAAGTAAAGCTGCATTCTTTCCCGAGTCCCCAATTTAACTCCAACAGAAAAGAAACTGGAGAACACGTTAAATCTGTTGCCAACTTCCATACCACATACAAAAAAAATTCAAGAAGCTAAACATTACTGAATGAGTACTTGTGTAAAAGATGTAAATATTACTGACCACCCAAATGGCAGAAGAAGCAACTTCCGGGATCAACAACTTTCACGAAAGGATTTATGTTGACCTCGCAACATGAGTAACGAACAAGACAACTCTCCCCAAATTCCACAACCTATAAGACAATGAGACAATAAGATAGCAGATGCTTTTTCCATAATTTAAGCTAATGCCTCAATAAAGGTAAAAATGATAGAATATGGGGAAAAACCTATTTAGCTCCAAAACGAATTTTGATACCCGATACCACCAAAAGAAAGGAAATAGGACAAAGTGAATTATCAACAACCATAAAACATGCGTAGAAATACCATACCTATGAGAAAAAGTTAATGAGCAAGGTATAGCGTAAAATGCCAAAATGTCAACAAACAATGTTTCTGTAGAACAGAGTCTCTTTAATTGACACACTTGCCACGTTAGTTCAATCTAATCAACGAAGACAATTTTACACAACAAAATACTGCAAATAAACTACATACTTAAAGCAGGAAATGGTACGTACCACAAAAACATAAATACAATCAAGAATGGAATCAGATTATAAGATAAAATATTTGTCAAACGACTCAAACTTTCTGGTCTTTTGGTAACACACATGCCAGGCAAAATGCTAGAATAAGAAAAAACCTATTATCCCACTAAGAGTAATATCATTACTAATACTTCCAAACCTCATCCATTGCCCCATGAAGGGGCAACTCTAACAGCAACAATAAGCCTTATCCCATTAGAAGAATTTAGCTACTTGGATTGCACAACACCATTATGCCCTATGAACAATCAAACCTTTGGGTAGGGCAACTCTCATAAGGAACAAAAAATGTCAACAAGTAGTGCCAACAAGAATAAAAGAAACCAAGGAAACAACTAAGAAAGCACGATAAATAATAAAGTATAAACCTATCTAGCTAGAGAAAGATTTGGTCAAGGATGTTAAACAGTCAATTTTCTTTTTACCTGTTCCATAAAGCTTTTCTCTTTTAACATCATGATTGCGTCATATTAAATATGACACTATTCAAGAAAGAAACAATCCACTGAAAACTCATCTACAGCCAAGTTAATTAAAAACATATTTCACAAAACCACACAAGATCTGTGCCAGAGGTAAAAGGCATATAGCATGGAAAGATCAGGCCTTAGCACAATCAATTCATTCAAATGATGTCACAACAAAATATCATCCCCTATGATCCCACAAATCAGCAAAGCTTTAAAAGCTAAATAAAATCCTTGATAATCCAAAACTATAATATACAACAATAACATTACAATAATATCCAGAATAAAGCCAATAAAGCATGAACAGATCGGAAAAAGCCATGCTACTATATGATTTAAATGTTGAGGTCAACTGAAAAAGCATCAATCAAGGATTCTCCACCAACAAATGCAATTCTACTCCAAATAATCAGAAGAGCAGTAACATTTGTGAAGCAGAATATAGGCAATAGTAAGATTACCAGGACTTAAGGATAGTTATGATTAAATTAAATACATCATCACACGTCTACAAAAAGCAGATTTTGCCCCCATAGCTTCACTGGCAAGCTGTTTAACGATCTAAAACACTTCTTATCACCCACAAAGCCAGTGCTCCCTTTTGGAACTGCCTATTCAAACAACTAAGTTTTCAGTGTGCAAATACAGTGTCGTTTCGTCTAGGTGGTCTATCAGGAATAGTTCCTGGCTTGAATTTTGAAGCCTCGTGTCTCGCCAATTCAGGAGGAACAGGACTATTACTCTGTATAAGCATCTGTTTGAGGTCATAAAAAACATCACTGTCTTGAAGAGTCAGGAACGTTGTGGCCACACCAGTCTTCCCTGCACGACCAGTACGTCCAATACGATGTGTGTACATCTCAATATTTCCAGGCATGTCATAATTTATGACATGAGCCACATCAGGTATGTCAATCCCACGCCCTGCAACATCAGTAGCAACCAAGACATTATATCTTTTGGTCCTAAATCCTTCAAGACTAATCTCCCTCTGCTCCTGTGACTTGCCACCATGCAAAGTGGTTACACGGTAGCCTTCCCTGTCCAAATTCTTTGCAACCATATCAGCATTTTTCTTAGTGTTAACAAATACAATTGCTGTCTTGTCATTAAGTTCATCAAGTAAACGTTGCAGTTTGTAAAATTTCTCAGATTCCTTCATCATAATCACATGCTGGCTGATCAAATCAGTAGCCTTTCCTGCAGTGCCTATGGTTACCACAACAGGATTCCTTAAATATTTCCTGGCAAGCCGCTCAACAGCAGGAGGCATGGTGGCACTGAACATATAAGTGGTTCTATAAATCCTCTTCTCATCAAGCTCTTCATCTTCATTTTCTGGTTTCAGATTGCTGGAAGGCATTGCATCCAGGACACCCATAACTTGAGGCTCAAATCCCATATCAATCATGCGGTCAGCCTCATCCAGAACAACATAATTGCACTGATTTAGGACAGCATAACGCCTCTCCAGGCAATCAATCAATCGACCGGGAGTCGCAATTACAATTTCGCAACCTTGCCTTATCTTAAAACCTTGCTCTTCAATTGACTGTCCACCAACAATGGAAACCACTTTGATCCCGAGATATTGAGCAAACTTCACCGTCTCATCCTCAATCTGCTGTGCAAGTTCACGAGTAGGTGCCATGACAACAGCATAGGGACCCTCAGCCTCATTCTCTTCACTCATGGGAGGAAGCCTTGTGATGTAACTCAGCATGGGAAGCACAAAAGCAGCAGTCTTCCCTGAACCAGTCTCGGCAACGCCAATAACATCACGCTGCTGAAGGCCAAGAGGAATGGCAGCCATCTGAATGGGAGAAGGGGTCTTGTACCCAGCCTTCTCAACCGCCTTCAATAGCTCAGGACTCAGCTTACTCTCAACCCAGCTACGCATTGGACGAGGAATTTTAGAACCCTTGTAGGAAATGTTGAAATCCTCCCTAAATATACGCCAATCCCTCTCAGTCATCTCCTCAAGCTTCTTCTCGCTCCAATGACGGTCAACTCTCATGTCAAAGGTGTCATAGAGGTCAGCAGCAGCCTCCTTTCGCCGTTGTGCAACGGCCTCTTCGGGCTTCTCCTCCACCCCCTCCTTCTTCCGGATCTGTTCACGCATCTCCTTCTCATTCTTGGCAGCGAGCTTTTTCTGCTCACGCCGGTCCATGCCAGCACGAAAGCCTCGACCAAAGAGAAGCTGCGCTTCATGAGGGTTCTGGTAAAGTGTGTTCATGTCACGAGAAGTATCCTCCGTGTTCTCCCAGTCGAAGGAAAACCGAAACTTCTCACTGGGTTTGATGACCCGCTTCTTAGGCTTCTTTGATCCAAGATACTGCTCCTTGATCGCTTCAAGCTCTTTCTCACGCTCCCGCTCTGCCAATTTCTCCATCCGAGCACGCTCGCGGGTCTTAGCCTCCTCTTCACGCTCCCTCTCGCGGTTCCTACGTTCTGTTTCACGGTCCCGATCGCGAGCCCTATCTCGCTCGCGCTCACGGTCGCGCTCCCGCTCTCTATCCCGGTCACGATCGCGGTCACGATCGCGTTCTCGGTCGCGGTCGCGTCGGTCGGAATCGGAGGGTTTAGACTCGGGGTTCGGGTCGGATGGGCGGTTCCGAGAAAGCAGCTGTTCCTGACGGCGTCTTTGTTCTGTGATTTCTTCTTGGCGTCGTTGAAGGGCCAATTGTTCGCGTTGAGCTTTTGTTAAGAACACCGGCTTCGAAGGCGCAGCAACGGTGGAGGAAGAAGCCAAGGGCACGACGATGTCATCGACCGGACGTTTCATCGCTTCCCGTGTTGCCGAAGGTCACCACCAAACAAAGAAATCGGGAAAGGTATCGCTTGGTTAAACGCAGGAGGGGACAGCTCGTGGATGCTCGGCTCAATCGTAGGGCGATAGATCACTTTTAACAGTCCGTTTTCTTAGGCCCACGCAGCCTTAGTTCGAGAAACCCACCAATTCAGTAATGGGCTAATCACTCGCAGGCTCAAATTTTTTTTTTTGGATGAACAGGGGACTACATATCACCAGAAAAAAAAGTGTTTACAAAAACGAAAGGAGATCAATTCCTCTCATCATTAACAGCCTCTATGTTGGGAGGGAATTGACGATCAGAGGACCAAAATGTACTGTTAGAACTAGGTCCTAAATTAATAAGATTACATAATTGATGATTTTCATCATCACTGTAAAAAGAGAAGAAAGCATTCCTAGACTGTGTAAGTAGCAATCTAGTTTCATGTACAACACCAAAAAATGGGTGGCCAATCAGATTATTGCAAGTGAGGAGATTGTAGGACTGGACATTTTGGATACAAACTTCCACATCTTGAATTCCTCTGCTTGCGCAAGCTTGTAGACCCAGTCTAATGGCATTAATTACAGCAATGTCATGTGGAAAGAGCACATTTATGGCATTAAACCCATATACCCACTCCTGATCATGACTCCTAATAATTCCAGCACTCACAGATATGTCATTTAGATAGGTTTCCCCCTTGACTAAAAGGCGAGCAGTCTTTTGAGCGTGCATGTAAGGGTTATTCCTGTAAGATCTATCAAAATAGTTTTCCTTCAACATGTTGAGCATATGGTTGTCTTGCTTAGCCTTAAAAATACTTTTCTTGACAGGAGCAACTCCTTGATATTCTGCATTGTTAAAAACCCATTGGCATCGGTGTAAGTGAACATTTGACACCAAGGAAGTGGTTTCACTTGTGAATTTCCTGCATCAGCTTTTAGATTCCATTCAAGCCATCTCGTGTGTTGCCTCTCTTGAACTCATCCTATTTATCAACCTTGATTAGCATTCTCCACTTGATTTCTACCTCCTTGCAATCTCTAAAAAGGTGAAGTATACTCTCTTCTTCCAAGCATCCTCTCGGGCAGCATGCCTCCTCGTCTAAGCCACATTTGTGTCTCAGGGATTTTGTGTGCACTGCTTAATTAGCAATCAACCAGAGTAAGGTTTTGAGTTTTTCTGGTATATTGAGTCTCCATATTAATCACCACTTGAAATTGGACCCACTACTTGGACCTACAAAAAAAAGAAAGATGGGCAGATGTGACACTAAAATTCCTATCCTGTGAGCGTTTCCAAATAAAAGTAACCCCCTCTCTTTCTTACTGCTAGGAAAAGTGTGAATAATGGTGTCCACCACATCAAGTGGCAGCAATTCCTTTAGTTTAGAGCAGTTCCAAGCTCCTGAAGAAAGGATGAAATCAGCAATTTCATCTTTCATATTAATACCCCTCATTGGTATGGGCATCTTGTCAATGACTCTTGTATGATCATTGAGCCATCTATCAATCCAGAAAAAAAATTATTGGCATCAACAATGGTTCGAGCTATCACTCCTCCCTTAAAATGAACCTAAACTTTAACTAAACTTCTCCAAATAAGTGACAAATTTTGCTTGTGTTTCACCTTAGGAACAACCTACTCCCCACAATTATATTTACTCCTTACCACTTGGACCTAGAGTTTGGATGGTCAGGTGAGAAGATTCCAGCTTACATAAGCTTGATTTTGCTTTTGAAGATCCTTTACACCTAGACCCCTTTTTGATTTGTCTTGTGTGATTTTAGCCCAGGAGACAAGGTGAAGTTTGTTCTAATCATCAATGTTTCCCTAGAGAAAACTTCTACATTGCTTCTCAATTCCATTCAAGAGTTTTTAAGGGAGAAGCATAGTTTGTATATAATAGCTTGGCATTGCCAACATAACTAATTTGATGATTATTCAAGAGTTTTTAAGGGAGAAGCATAATTTGTATATAATAGCTTGACATTGCTGACATAACTAATTTGATGATTGTAGCTCTCCCTGCTATGGTCAAATAAGTGCCTCCTAGTTTTATTATAAACAAGGGCAAAGAGACTATAGGTTGCCGAAAGTCATCAACAGATCAAGTTGGGCTAGATTAATAATTAGCTTTCTTTTGACAAAACTATATATTTAGAATTGGTCACCAATAACCAACAAAGATTGATCCAGTTGATAAAAATTCAACCTATAATTTATAAGATCATGAAATTAAATTCCGCTATCAACTTGAGAACTCTATTGTGGGTGATGTTATTAATATCTCTGTAAGCATTTTTTGAGTTCAGAGGCATACTCTAACTTGGTGAGTCTCAAAACCTAACTCATCTAAAATTGATATTATCAAAAAAATAAATAAATAACTAGTCACCAATAACCAGCGAAGGATAGGTTTAGTGGAAGGAGCCAATCCCTCACATTGTGGGGGATCAAAGTTCTAATCCCCATTGAGAGAAAGGCACTCACATTTAGTATTCGACCTTGTCTTAAACTAGATTAAGTCAATGTTCAATAAAAAAAAGAATTAATCATCAACAACAAACAAAGGTTAGTCATAGCGAGTCTCGAATACCAAAACCACCTAAATTTCTTCTTAAAAAAAAAGAAAAAAGTTAGTTATTTAATTTTAAACAATATTTTATTTTAATCTTTTAATTTCATAAAGTGTCTTTTCCATCATTAATCCCTAACACTATTAATTTTATCAACAAAAAAATAAAATATTGAATTTTTAAATGTTAACAAAACATTTTGAAAATATTAACATATTAAACTTAATTCTTTAAAATAACGATGATTAATACAAAAGATTATCATTTGAGACTAGAGATGAAAGAATAACAAATATTTTATAAAATCAATGGATCAGACTAAAAATTTACATAAAATTAAAGGATTAAAGTTGCATTTGTGTCATTTCCTTTTTTGTTTGAATTTTCTGTGCTTGACGGACAGCCATATAAAGAATATATGAAATTTTTTTTGTTCATAAATTTTTTGGTATTTATTTTTTATACGACTATAATAGATCCAATATTTTTTTGCTTATATTCTAGCATTACCCAGTTTATTCGATGTATTATCCTCTAGAACATGTTTGATTTTTTTATTTACATAAATTCAAATCCAAAACTCTGTATTTAAATAGTTATAAACTGTTTTATTACCACTCACCTTTGTATGGTTTTAAGTTAAATGTCCTTAATGAAATTAAAAAAAAAAAGACCAAAGTTTGTGGATGTCACTATTTTGGAACCTTAAAGGATCATGATTCTTCGATTGTCAATATTTGGGAACATTAAATTTTTGTATGGAAAAAATATGCATCAACTATGAATATTTGAATATGACAAAAGATATTTACATATCGTGGAAGATGTATTGCATTTGAGAACATATGCTGCCTTGCAACAATGCTTTGCATCTAAGAGGAGAATATTGTGTATCATAGAAGGACCTTGCATATAGATAAAGAAAATGTGCACCTATGAAAGATATTTGTATGTGATGGAAAAAAAATTACATTTTCTGAAAGATTTATTGTACCCAATGAAATATGCAACATCATGAAAGTATTTTACATCTAACGCTAGCTTCCTTGCATGTATGAAAGGACTGTGCAAATGCAAAAACATGTTGTATATGATGGGAGAACATTTTTTTTCATAATATTGATTATACATGTTTGAATATATCTTCAATTTTCATGAAAACCTAACTTGATAGTCCAACAAAAAAATTTTTGGTAATGGTTATGGATATTCGAATATATATTCAATTTTTTTGAGGACATTATGAAAAATGTACATTTTTAATTGATTAAATATGGACATTTTAATTGTCTAATTATCAATTTTTATTCTTCTAACGGACCCAAGTCCCTAAACAAATTCAATGTACCTTAAACTTAGAGCAATAAATTTGCTGGTGAAGGATTTTTGGCGAATTTTCCCGTAAAAGAATATCTTTCTGTCTAAGATTTGGCAGAAAAATATTTCATTATTATATCCATAATATGTTATGTCATTTGTCTGTATAATCCTATCTATATATGAATTCATGTACTCTTCTTTTGCATTGGTAATTGTTGAGGGAGAAACGACGGCGTCTCTATTTTCCCCTTATTTTAGGATTTATTATTTGAGTCTGATCTCAGCCTTAGCGGAATCGTGAGCTTCATCGCCCGATTCGCCCCACGCATAGCTCGGAGATCATTGAATCTCTCATACCCAGACGCCATCCACTACCGCCGTCGATCGTCTGTGGTTCACTTAGCCGGACTTGCTGCTCCATTCGGCACTGGTAAGGCTACCTAACGATCATTTGTCTATGCCTTCTTTGAACTCCTGGTCTGTTTGTGTCGGAAGGATTCCTTCGAATCATGGAGTGAAACGGATGCTTTAACATTGGAGTGACCTTTTTTTTTTTGGCTCACCATTTTAGAGTAAAGGGAAATTCAACGACTCCTTTGAATTTGAGAAATTGTAATTCGGCCATCTTGAAATGATCCTTGGAGAACAGTACCTTTTAATGTTAAGTATCCCAGCATTGTGCTTCATATTGTAAGTAGCTACATCCGTTTCCGGCACTGATTCCTAATTATGTTGACATACATTTACCTTCAGAGTCTTCTCCTGGCAACTTTCCACTCAGTTGCTCGTTTGCCATTTTTTTTTTTTGGCTTCCGCCCAAAAGAAATGTACGCCTAAAAAAAAAAAAATTATCCTATGTCATATGACGATTGATCAAACTTAATTTTCTTACTGGATTGTCTTAATAGTAAATAGTGTTTTTTATATCAGCAGGGAGAGCTGAGAGATGGATTGAAAGGGTACATATATTAAACAATTTATATTAGACAATCAGAAATGAAATAAAAAACCTGGAATTTAGCACTCTTTCCTGTAACTTGTTTGTCTCTTTCACATGGTGATAGTTTATCTGTGTTTGATTCCATGGGCCAGCCATGTAAGGCTTTGTAAATGCATTCGTTCAAAGATTTCATGTGAATTAGTTTTGATCAAACTTTGATTGTGGCATCTCTGAGGTGGAAAATTTTATTCTTGCAGGAAAAAGATAATAAATTTAGTTGGTGATCATTGGTTAACATGAATAAGTTGTTAGAGTTTGGAAGAAAAGCGCTATTTTATGTACGGGTGCTTTCTGGATATGAGGAGCGAAGAATACGATCTTTCAGGTTGCAGCTGGAGAATCATCTTAAACAGGTCTGACGTCATCTCTTATCTTAACAGCAGCAATCATATCCTTGAATCAGTAACGGTTTCCTTTTAGGAGCTAGGATGAACTGGGACTTTATTCAAATGGAGTTGTGGTTCTGTGCAAGGGAGAGAAGTGAACCTCACATTTTAAAAATCAAGTGAGACCCCACCTTAATGTGAAGTGTGAGAAAGCGTGATGCAGCCCTGTTCATAGAAAGCAGCAGGGATGGAATCCCGATTCAATCAAGAGAATACAGTAATTTTTAATTTGTCACAACTTTTGCATGCATTCACCATTTAAGAAAAATCTGTGAAGATTTTTTATGTAGAAAACAAGGCTATTAGTTCTGTTAAGTGTGTTAGCCTCCGGAAATCCTAGGCTCAAATTATTTCAAATGTACTAAAAATGAGGTGCTGGGTCATTTGTACTTTTTAAATGCTACCTGTTATTAATAGGAATGTTCATGTTTATTAGTTACCTGAATAAGGAGCAAACTGTGATGTAGCAACAGCATACTTTTCCAAAATAGAAATATCAGAATCCTATAATATAGGGAAAACAACATAATAAAGATTTGAATTTAAAATATTTATATTTTCCATTGTTGCTAAGCTCCTTATTACCAGAGACTAAAATGATTTTAACCTTCATTCTTTTTGCACCAAAATTTGATCTGCTGTGAGCTACGTGCCCTCAATTTCTTTCTGATATTTGGTATATTTACTTCCACTCTGGTGTGTATGGTATTTGATTGTGAAAGGCACATGAGAGGAAGGCAGCTTTGAACAAAGTACCTGAGCAGATTATTTTGTCTGAGGTTCGCCGTATGGTTGAAGAGATGCAGGCTTTAAACAAGAAGTTGGAAGAGACAGTGAGCTAAATCTCTTAGCATTTTAAATTATGGAAACTGAACTAAGAAGTTTAAATATGATCCTTGTCTGTTGCTTACCAATTTGACAGGCACTGTATAAACCTGAAAAGAATTTTTATTTTTAAAAAAGATCATATTATGTGCATTCCAGAACTTCTTATGTTGGGCCTACATTTTGGCCCTCTTGTATTACAGGACCTACACTTTCCATTTGAAATACAGTTTGATCCTTCTTTTCCAAATACCGCATCACTCCCATTCCATCATGATTGTCTTGAATGAGACATTTTCTTTTGTATGAAAAATTGTCAACTATGTTTGTTTGCATTTCATTAATCTTTCCTCTATAATTCTTTGGTTTGAGGAACTCAAATTTGTTTTTAACTTCCATACAGGAAGCAGCAGTTGAAGAATACTTCAAACCAATTGACGAGGAAGCTGAGATTATAATGAAAATGCAGCTAGAAGGGAAAGAGAAAACTTCAGAGGACATGTTAAAAGCAATGGAGCAACAGGCTTTGCTCGATCAAGTTGAAGCAGAAAAAATTTCTGCTGCACGTCAGCTAGAAACGTTCCATGCCAACCAAAACCAGCCGTCCACATCTACAATCCCAGAGGAAGCTTCACAAATTTTGAATGCCAAAAGTTAGGTACAGTTTTTAGGTATTTTGCTATCAGTTCTTGTTCAAAAACATGACAAGTAGATATTTTTTTCTCCAACTTGGTATCACATAGTTGGATCGCTAAAAAAATTCGCTTCTCATGTTATGTTATTATTGGAAAACCTGATAGCAAACATTCTAGGAATCATTGATGATAACTAAATCCAAGGGTGCTGGGCGTAACATCCAAAACAAGGAGAAAAGGTTTCTGCAGTTTGAGTATTTGGCATATCTCAAAGAGGCAGTTTTTTTATTTCTCCATTCCATGTTCCAGGGCTTCTTAGACTTAGCTGAGATGTCTCATTAAGAGCGTTGGGATGACAGTCATTTTTTGTTGTTGTGCAGAATGGATCACTGTTCAGACATTGATGAGAAAATAAATGAGCTGAGCATGAGAACGAGTGTTGTTATATTTGGGAAAGAACGTCTTTTTTTTTCTTGTACGGTGCACGTGAAATATAATAACTTGAAAGTTTTTCAAAGATTATATTCATCTTTCTAGCTTTAAAACTCTATTGAATATGTTGAGAAATATTAAAAAATGGAAACATAGTCGCACAAGGCCTAAGAAAATGTGCAGAGAAATGTTTGTGGGAAAGGGGAATGATTGCTTGGAGTCTAAGAGAATTAGTTATGTTTAAGGCTTATAGTGTAGCTTCTTATAGAATTTATAGAATGTTTAGGGTTTATGATATGGTTGAAAGAAGAGAGAGAAATAGGGGAGTGAAACAGAAGGAAAGAGGAAGAAACAAGAGAAAACAGGAGAGAGAGAGGAAGAGATAAGAGATGAGAGAGAAAGGAAAACAGAGAAAAGGGAGAACTGAACTATGTTTCCTTATTTTCAATTTTGCTTAATATCTGACTACACTTAAGATCCCTTATAGGCTCCTCCATCCCTTTATTCTAACAGAACCTAACTAATTAACCCCCAACTAACTAAACTATTTGTTCTTTATTTACTCGTTACATATCAGTTTAGTGTAGCAAAAATGAGGTGTCGCAGAGAAAATCTTGTGATGGAGAATTTGGTACTGCTCAGTAGATTGAGGCGCCTAAACAAGTTTTAAATCTTGCATTATATCCCATATATTATGTGACAAGTAACGTGCATTTCAGCATTTGTATAGTCCACTAATAACAGATTTGGTCTGAACAACAGTTTTGTTTAGAGCACCAAATAGACAGAGGAATGTAATGGAAAATAGAATAAAAAATTATTGAGGATGAGAATTAGTTTACTTTTCTATTTTTAAGAACTAGAAGAATAAAATAGATATCGTTGAGTAATGAAATGATTATAGTTGTTATTGGAGACAATGAAAATGTACTCTCTTTCCATTGTTATAGCTTGCTTATCTAGGAAAAACATAGGATACCACATTTGGATAATATTTTATATACCTTAAAATTTCATAAATTTCCCATCACATCACATCACATTACATTTTTGGTTTTAATTATGTTACTTTTATCGGAATTCTAGTCATACAAATGTTTTAGTCACGATTAATTTTTCTTAGCAATAAAATGGAGGGAAAAAACTAACAAATGTTAGTTTAATTGATAAGAATTTAATTCATAATTTACAAAATTGCAAGTGTTGATATCAAATCATGTTATTGATTTGAAGCTCTTATTGGTATGTGACTTGTAAGTATTTTTATGAATGCTTTTGAAACCTTAAGATATGCTATGATCCTCATGAGCTTTAAGAATTTAACTTATCTAAACTTTGGTTGATTAAAAAAATGGAGGGAAAAATTAAAGCTAAAATCTAAAACTGAGAAATAGGAGAATTATACATGAAGACGAAAGCAGCTTTTTTTTGGGGGGGGGGGGGCGTGGAAGGAACAATTACAAATAACATCCGCGTACCACTTATTGAACAATTACAAGTAACATCCACCTACCCACTTATATTTACACTTCTTCATAACGGAAGACACACAATCATCGCATTCCATTCCAGGTTCGAACACCCATCCTCCCTGTTGCGGCACACGGGACAATAATCGAGGCACCTGAGTGCAACCATCTATTCACTATTGATTGCTGGTCGATTTCCCTTCCCTTCATTTGCTTATGGATATGCAGTGTACATTTTAGAGAAGCTAATGTAATTATGAAACATTAACTCTACACTACATGTAACTTTGTTGTCCCAACACCCCAAAAAAAAAAAAATAATAACACACACACACACACACACACACAACATAAATGTAAGAATAAAGGAGATATAAACTATAAAGGCTCTCTTAGACATATCCACATCTATGATTGTAGCTTTGTATTGACCATGAATGTTCTCGATTGTCTGACGCTCGCCACCTGAACAGGTATCATCAGCTTTTCATTCTTAGGATTTCATGCTGTGCTTTAACTTTTTGATTTCAATCCAGAAGAAAATCTAACATTGCAGGGCAAAGGAGAGCAAAATATAATGTGGGTTCAAAATTTCTGTGTAGGGGTGATTGCAAATGAAAATTACAACTAAAAGAACTTTGCATAAAGAAATTGAATTTTTTTTTTAAAAAAAAGCTTAACATAAATAAGCAAGACAACTTTGATTATGAGGAAAGCCCAAAAAAGGAAGAAAACAAAGACATTATTTAACGTTGTCCAAATCAAACATATCATTGAACAATGAAGTTTCAGAGACAGAAATTCCGATTTAAATGCTTACAATAATTAATATAAGCAACCAACAGTTCACATGAATGAATGAGTATTACGAATGGTTCTATGGCTGTGATCTGGTTTTATAACACGCTTGCTTCTCCTAGCAAGGTCCTAACTTTAAACATTCCGATGATATATCGGCAATGTAAAAGAAGATTAGAACTAAATTCTTAAAGAATGATATTTTAGGAAGTTTTATTTTTCACTCGAAGACCAAATTATGACAGCTTTTGTCACAAGGGTAGGCACAACCAATAGCCTGTATTCCAACTCTGTCAAAAAACCAATTTCCAACAGACTCTGCAATCCCCTGCATGTGTTTTAGAGAAAGAAATAAGCTCTTTAAGCCCATAAAGCAAATATCAGAAAATTAAATAGAAATATAAACATGGCATGCTATAGATATGTGATTTAAATGGCTTAAGGATTATTTTTTCTCTAGTTATACACGAAAGGTCATAAATATCCCTAAACTTAATTATAGATCAATTATATCCCTTAACTTTACATATTCCCTTACTCGTCACTCTACTATTTTCTCACCATTAGTTGACTGTTAGTAAGCCCCACATTATATTTTTTTTTTCATTATAAAATGTGAGTTGAACTACAAAAAAAAACCCTTCAAATAAAAGTCAAAGAGGAAAAATAACTCTTAATCTAATAAAAAATATTTAAAAAGAGAGTGGGACGCACTAATGACTAACGGTATTAAGTATTTTTAATATCAGGGTAATGACAGAAGAAATCTTTAAAGTTCAAAGATAGAATTGACTTATAATTGAATTTAAGGACATTTGTGACCTTTCGTGTACAATTCAAGGACAAAAATTACCCTTAACCCTTTAAATATTTGTAGCAACATAATTGAATTGAAGCAATTTAGGATTTGTTTATTCAGAAGAAATGTCATCTAATCCCAATTCTTTGCATATACAAATTGGAATGCATATAGTGGTACATTGAGAGAAAAGTACATCTAACTTAAATTATTATGAAAAAGGAAGAAATTTCTCAATCTACCCTGATTAAATGCATCATCTTTAAAAACAATTTCTCTCTCATGTAACATTTTACTCTACTCACATAAAATTGTGAAAAAGGTAAAATTAAAAGAAAGTAATTAATGATCGATTTTTTTATGTAAAGTGATTGATAAAAAGAATCATCAATTTCTTTTAGAAGGTGACTTATGAGTTATGTATAGGACCACAGAGAGTATTGTAGTGAGTGTTGATTATTCATAAATCATAACAAATAATTTAGAATGCACATACTCTGTTTCCAATATGGGGAGAATTGTAAGCAAACCACGTATCCTGTCTTTCGGTCTGACAATGCGCGAAACATGAGTTTATGAACAAGCCATTTTTGCGAGACCTCGAAAATCCCCTTACAGCATTAAGCATTTGATTTCGGAATCCTGCATTGTACAAGGTTTAACAACATTGAAGATAATAACTGAAATATAAAGAGAACGGCTAAGAACTTGAAACTACTGCTTGTTAAAACACAGACAGATTCAAGATATAAGTATTCTTAAAAGTTCAACTTAACCACCTTGAAGATAATGAATCTGTGATGCACTGCAACGTGCATAATTTTTTCTGCACTCAGCCCAATTCCAACGACGATCCACCGATGGTGGCGCTAGGCTGGCTTGAATCTGATAAAAGTGAAAGGAATTACATCAGTCAACAAGATGAAGATTACATGTTCCTAATTCATCCTTAATATCCACACTCAACAAGATGAGGTAATGGCTGATAAGGCCACGTGTCCACAAAATTATGAGATTCTTCCATGTAAAGGAATTGGCTTTTGAATAAATTTCATAGAATCTTTCAACATCACCAATGTGCTGTTTCTTTAAGGAAGACTAGAGTAACTTGTGAAGTTTTATAAAGACTACTATGGTATTTCTCATAAATATTCAATCAAAAGAGACAGGGTTGTAGGGCTTTACCTGCCAAGTATCATAAGCTGTGTTGAGAATAAATAGTGGTGTCCTGACACTCGAAATTAAATACTGAGGGAAGAAGCACTAATAAAAAATAACAAATAAAAAATGTCAACAAAAAGGAAATTTAACATTAATTCCATTTTTCCTTTTAAATTGTCACGTGTGGAGATATTGAGTCATGTACAATCCGTCAGTAATGTACACTTTTCTATATGCTCAAATACCACTTTATTCTCCTTTAAATTTCGATGTTAATAACTTTTCATAGTAATTTCCACCTACAATTTTTAATTAATAGCAAAAAAACAAAAACATGTGCTATGGTTAGACAACAATTAAACAACATACAATCTATCATGGTCTAGTTAATAGTAAAGGGTCAATGAGAAGAACTAACTTGACGCCTTCTATAAGAAACGAAAATAAGAAATTCTGATGATATTAAGTTTCCAAATTCTACAAGGATACTAAGTATGGGCTTACAAAGCGTAGGTCCTTATTCAAAAAAAAAAAAAAAGCATAGGTCCAGAACTTTGTTCAAAACTCTAATTACTAAAATTTCTCTATTAAAATCCCTAGCTCTCAAATGATAAATTCACAATCACATAATAGAACAATACAAATATTTTCTCACACAGCTTGAGCTTCTGCAGTTGAAAAATGACAGCACAGCATTTGATGTAAATGTTATGCCCATTTTCACAAGATATATCCTCAGTGACAAGACATATGATAATGTTATGCTAGTGATCTAATACTACCTCGAAGCCTATTTATCA